GGGCTCGAGGAGGGGAGGCGGCGGTGGCCTCTCTGGCGGGGAGGAGCCCTCCCCTCCACCAGATCTGGCAGGAGGGGAGGCGGCGACAGCGGCAGCGGGCTCGCTGACGGGAGAATGCGCGACGGCTCGAAGACCGACCGTGTGACGACGATGAGGTGCTATTTTTTTATTGCATAAATTTGAGTGCCAAAATTTGTGTTGTGGGATTAATGTTGCCAAAATTTGATGTGGATGAACCCATCTTTGAATGTTGTGGGATGAATGTTGCCAATTTTTTCATTTTGTGTATTGGGACTGCTTGGCTCGATGTGGGAGGAGGAGGGACTGCTCGGCTTGATGCGTCGGCTCGATCAAGCTGACGCATCGAGCCGGCTTTTTTTTTATTTGCCGAATCTAAAAGGTGTCGGTTGAACCGACACCTTTTTTTATTTTCAAATCAGTGCCGCCTCCCTTGTGCCGGTTGGGAAAACCGACACCGAAGGGGGTTTCCCAACCGGCACTATTCCCCTTTTCTGTAGTAGTGCTAGATCTTCAGGGCTTGCGAAGTGGGCATACACGTATGCATTGTAGGATCGAACAAAATCAAACAAACCTACTAGAGAGGGTGAGGGTGAATGGTAGGAAAAATCAAAAACCAAAAACTTTTTGCGGAATTAAAAGTTACCCTCGAATCAATGGAGATCTCGACCGCCATGTGCACACCGGTCTGACCATCCGTATGCCACCGGCCTGACTGGTATTGTCCGCCTGGTCGGACTGCTACTTCCTTGCCTTCTGCTGCTCACCGCTGCCACCTTCTGCTATAGCTGCCGCCACCCACCCCCTTTGTTCGGATCTAGGAGGGAGAGGGAGGAAGGGAGGGAGGGCCACACCGCCACACCCTCTCCCATTGCCAGCCTCCCCCTATGGCCAGATATGGGAGGAAGAAGGAGGGAGGGAGGGAGGTAAGGGCCGCACCGCCCACCCTCTTCCTCAGCCAGCCCTGCTTTTTGCTGCTGTTGGCATATCTAGGAGAGGGAGGGATGTGAGAGGATGGACACGTCGCCGCCTTCTAGGAGAGGGACGGCTGTCGTTGATGTGCCAGCTTCATCCGCTCTGGCTAGAGGAGAGTAGAGGAGAGGGTGAGGGTGAGAAGAGAGAGGTGAGACGCGGAGGGACTTAGGCTAGCCGAGAGAGAGGAGAAAGGGTGTTATGCGGTGTTTCAAAAATGCGAACCAATTTTTGCATGTGGACCTCTTAAAGCCCTCGCATGTGAAAATCGATTTTTGCAGGCACAGCCTTAGAGGTTCGCATGCAAAAATTAATTTTTTAGGTGCGGCCTTAAAAGGCCTGCCTATAAAATTTACGGTATTTTTTATAGATGGTCCTTTTATAGGCCCCACCTGTAAAAATATATTTTCGTAGGAGAGACTACTAAAAATGGGACATATAAGTCGGCACTATAGGTGCCAGAAGTGCTAAAACTTGCACCTATAATTCTTTTCCCACCTCCACGGAATGAAAATGTAAAAAACCGACACATTCAAACAGCTAAAGGTGTCGGTTTTAAAGAAAAACCGACACTTATACTATAGGTGAAAAAACCGACATCTATAATATATTATAGCTGTCAATTAATTAAAAACTGAGACCTAAAATATATTATAGTTGCCGGTTTTTTAAAAACCGACACCTATTTGCCGAACCAACCGAGCTGATCGTTGAGCTAACCTATCTACTCCTTCCCTTATCTCTTCTTCCCCCTCTCTCTCTCGAACTCTCTCCCGCAGTCCACTTCCTCCTCTCTTCTTCTTCCTTCTCTCTTCCTCTCCACCTCTTCTCCTCTCCTCCTCCTCCATCTACAACGGCGGCAGCATGGCGGGGCCCTCCCTTCTGCCAGATCCAACGGGAGGGGAGGCGGTGGTCTAGTGGCAGCACGGCGGCGTCCTCCCCCTCCGCCATAGCCAACGGGAGGAGAGGCAGCGGTCCGACAGCGGCGACACCCTCCCCTCCGCCAGATCCGGTGGGAGAGGAGGTGACGAAATGACAGGGTCCTCCCCTCCGCCAAATCTAGCAGGAGGGGAGACGGTGACTCAACAGCAGCCTAGCAGCGGGAGGTGGCATGCAGCGGCGGAAGGGTGGAGGTGTGATGGCGTCGGCGGCCACGAATCCATCTCTTCCCCTTCCTCTTTGTGATTTATTGATGTTGATATGATCTAGATGTGTATTATTTGATCTAGATGTGTTGTTTTTCTAGGGATTATTGACTATAGTTCATGTGTTCATAGATTTAAGGCAATTTATGGATTTGAGGCAATTTAGTTCATGTGTTCATGGATTTGATGCAATTTTTGGATTTGGGTATTATTTTGGATCGGCTTGACGGCTTGATACATCAAGCTGATTTTTTTTTTGCTCGTACGTGCGCCTCAAAGGTCTGAGTAATCAGTGCCGCCTCCATGGTGCCGGTTAAGAAAACCAACACCTAAGGGGGTTTTCCAACCGGCGCTGATGAGTGTTTCTGTTGTAGTAACTAGAATTGTAGGGCCTCTAGCTATTTTTACAAGCAGGAATTTTACAGTTCACCTGAAAAGAAAAACAAACCTAGGTGCTGTGAAAAAAATATTTTTCTAGTAGCCGTTAAATAGAAATTAGTCTAGGTAATTATTTTCAACATAACTCACTTATTGATTTCTTCTTCTCTCATGCTCCTCTCTTCAATATCTCTTAATAATATACTTAGGAGATTTATGGATTTATCGTTGGCCTCTGTCCATTGGAGATGTTTAGAGCAGTGACGGAGCCATGAGTGTTGCAAAGGTCGAGCATGCAGCATGAGAGATCATACTGCTTTCGAGCTATATATTTTTATGGCAAACTTAAATTTAGTAGATCGCCATGGCTAGCCCACAGCTCCAGCGGCCGTCCACCCAGCCAGGATCGATGGTGGCTCAGCCACTGTGTATAAGAGGTAAACTCATGGCTGCCTGCACTAGCTAAGGTCAGTGCCTCCATAATCATGTTTAGATCGTTTTAAATTACCATGAAAAGTTTGGAGAAAATCAATAACCCATTGGTTATGCTCTAGCTAAGCTCTCAGCTTTGATAATTTCTGGTTCTGCTCGTGAGGCTACTTACCTACGATGTGCATATACAATGATATTTTGCATTTATGCATTCTCCTTATGTAATTACTAGTAACATACCTGTGAATTATAACAAGTTTATATAGGGGATATTGGCTGCACAGGTGTGTGTGTGTGTGTGTGTGTGTGTGTGTGTGTGTGTGTGTGTGTGTGTATATATATATATATATATATATATAGGTTGAAAATGAATTGAATCGGTTAATTTAATAATTGTTTAATCCATCACTTGGGTTATTCTGATTTTCTTTTTAGTCACGCTTGGTTGTTTTTGTAAGATCAAAGTGTGTTTTGATTCTTATTCTGTGATGAACAATTGGCATCTGTGATTATTGGTTTTAATATTTGGAGATTATCGTTGAAGTGGTTTTGGAGATAATCAAAGGTGATGATCGGATTCTGTTATTTTATGTGTCCGGTCCGACCGGGCGGAGGTTGCCGGTCAGACCGGTGTTATGTGTGCGGTCAGACCGGCCGGCCCGCGGTCTGACTGGCCGACGCTGTGTCGGTTTCGGTTTCGGGTTGTTTCTTTGGATATCCGTGATTGTTTCATGGTTATGGCTTCTAGATGGATACTATACGTATGTAATACTGTTGTTTGCTAACAATGAGTCAAGTTGGGGATAGCTTGGTCTCGGAATATGGTTTCTTTGTTTATTTCATATGTAGGTGACTCGATACCTCGGGAGAGTATTTGCGGTGATGGACCGGGAGTCGGCTTGGTGGTAAGACGATGTCCGTGGTGGTCAAATATCATGCGGGATACTAAGGCTAGAGTTGATGCACGTGGTTGGTGAAGATTCCATATGGCATACGATGAAGGTATTGTGTGCGTATGGGATGCGAAGTCGAATTTGGAAGGAGTCTAAATTTGGTACAATTGGTTATGTAAAGTTTGTGTCTTGTACTAGAGGGTTTCCTAAGGTGTTTAGGACTCTTAGTATGAGTTTAGTTCGTGGCTTTAGGCTGCCTACCTCATGTATAAATAGAGGGGGAGCGTGAGGCTTCCCGGTATCGCTTTTGTATAGCTTTTGAGAGCTAGTTTAGTTAGGGTTTCAAGTTTAGTCGAGATTTTTGTAAGGAGTGATGTTGGTGCACTTTGTAAACACAGATAGAAGTAATAAAGTTGTCATCTACTTTGAGAGTTCTTCGATTTGTGTTTCACCGGGTTTCGGCGGTCTAACCGGCATCTCAGCGGCGGTCAGACCGGCGGCGGCGACAGCAAGCGGCAGCTGATCAGGCGATCAGACCGGAGTTCCAATCTCGGTCAGACCGGTGGCTTTCAGACGGTCAGACCGGCACAACTATCTCGGTCAGACCGCGATTCATCGATTTCGAGGGTAACTTTTATTTCCGCTAAAAGTTTTTGGTTTTTGGGTATCTCAACCATTCACCCCTTCTGGTTGGCTTAGTTCTTGTGATTCGATCCTACAGTTTTTCTGATTTTCTTGGGGATGTTGTGGTTGCATGCAACGTGAGGGAGAGGGAGAAGAAGTGATTTTATAGTAATAGAGATTTTCTCGAGGATATGTGGTTGCATGCAACTTGAGAGATATGGAGGACAATTACGTTTCTATATGCTTCCTTCATTTCTAAATATTTGATGCTGTTGACTTTTTTAAATATGTTTATCTGTTCATCTTATAAAAAAAATTAAGTAATTGTTAATTCTTTTCCTATCATTTGATTTATTGTTAAATATACTTATATGTATACATATAGTTTTACATATTTCACAAAAGTTTTTTAATAAGACGAACGGTCAAATATGTGTTAAAAATAAACTGTGTCAAATATTTAGAAACGGAGGGAGTAGTAGTGGAGAAAAGAAAACTAGCATGTCCTTTGTGGTCTATATGGTGAGGAAAAAACACATCATCACGACTCAAGCGCCAGTATATACTCTCGTAAGCTAACACATATATATGTCTAGCAATTGCTACTTGCTTACATGCATTACCCAAAAAAAAAAAAGACAGATATCTAGAGATCGACCAGATCCTGATATAGACATATATTTATCTGATCATTCCTTTATAATATATAAGTAACCCTGATCAAGAACTCGTGGAGATCAGATTAAGGAGGAGTTTTAGGAGGGGAGACCTATCGATCGATCTCTTGTAGTCTAGTACGGCGGCCGGCTGAAATGCCCCATTAATTAGTAACGAAGTTGTCATGCATGCATGGGTGCTTGCAGTTAGGCGTTATTCTATCTTCCATGCCTGACCACCGTGCAGGCTGAACTTCTTGAGCCTGCCGTAGAACATGACGGCCATGAGAGTGAGCTTCCCTTGTTTGCTCCACTTCCCTGAGAAGCCAACCCACAGGTCTCTGCAGCTGCCGTCGGGCCTCACCTGCCTCGCGCAGCTGTACCCCGTGCTGAACCCCACATTGCCATACGCACTGCATCCAGGAGTATGTAACATATAGTTAGTTTACACGATGGTTCTAGTTATATATATTATCTCCGTGGATGTGGATTTTCCTCACTTTCTCTTATTTTATCCATTCGTTTAAAAAATCATTAATTAATCTCTTTTTAAATATATGATATTCAATTTGTTCAAACAGAAATAAAATATTAAATTTAATTGCGAATTGAACATGCCATTTATAGTTAAATTTATTGTGTTTTTCTAACATGTGTTCAAGTTATATTTGAACGTGTATATATTAGTGTAGTAATATATCACATGTCCATTTTATCAATAACTTTTAGATTTTCTTTTGTAATTTTTGGGATGACATATAAAAACGAGGAGAAATGTATGTACCCTCAAGGGGGAAATATACTCTCTGTCCCTAAATATTTGACGTTGTTGACTTTTTTAAACATGTTTAACCGTTCGTCTTATTCAAAAACTTTTGAGAAATATGTAAAATTATATGTATACATAAAAATATATTTAGTAATAAATCAAATGATAGGAAAAGAATTAATAATTACTTAAAAATTTTGATAAGACGAACGGTCAAAATGTTTTAAAAAGTCAACGGCGTCAAATATTTAGAGATGGAGAGAGTAATTTTTTGGCACTTGCCAGCAGTTAAAATTAAGGTTAGACCACCACTATGCGTACCTGATAACCTCGACGACGATGTTGAGGACGCTGTAGTTGATGGGGTCGTCGGCGATTTGCCGCCGCTCCGTGATGCAGATGACGACGATGAAGATGGCTAGGCACGAGAGCGGCGACATGAGCAGCTTCTGCCATATGCTGCTGCTGCTGCTGCCCTCCTGCCCGGACTGTGCTCCCGTTTGCTGGTGTTTGTCTTGGACAGGTACGAAAGTGGTGTAAGGTGGCAGGTACCTGCAGCAAGCATGAGAATATATAAGCAAATTAAGGTTCACGCAGTATAATTCAGTGTAGCAAATATGTTCAATTTCCGTCATGCAAGTTATTAATTTAGAGCTATATCATATCTGTATACAAAAGCATGCATGAGAACATATGTTTTTCGGGAGTTTAATTCAAAAGTTGTACCATGTACTACCTCCGCGTATATATATACACACACCGATGTTGACTTCATTCGGTGTTTGGTGTGTACTACTTTGACCACCGTTGTTTTATTAAAACATAACGATAATATCTAACAAAATTATAATATTAATAATTTTTATATTCTCAAACTAAACATTTTGATAGCTAGTAACAATCAAAGTTCCAAAAGTTTCACTGAACAAAGATAACATTATCGTATACTTAAGTACAGAGTATATATACTCCCTCCATCCTCATAAAGAAAGTCGTTTAGGACATCGACACGGTCTCCAAAATACAACTTTGACTTCTTCTTTCTATAAAAATATTCATTGAAAAGTGATATATGTATACTTTTATGAAAGTATTTTTCAAGACAAATTTATTCATATAATTTTTACATTTTCAAACTCAACAACTTGAGAGTTATTTATGATTTATAATCTCAAGGTTTGACTTAAACATTGTCTTAAACGACTTCCTTTATGAGTATGAAGGGAGTATGTGCTTGCAGTTGACTTATCGTTCTCTGTTTCTGTCTATTTTCTTTCGATCCCTATCCAATGTACATAACCTTCATCTAGCTAGGTTTCGGACATCAATACACTTGTTAATTTGCAGTCACAACTTACTAACTTAGAGGAAATTAAACTAGATGTAGTTGTATTTTGTTGCAAAATATGACTTGGAGAATTATCCTTGCGGATTATCGTCGTGAAAGTGCCAAATCAAGGGCTCCAACAAACTGAAAGCGTCAATCCATGTCTATCAGTAGCAATCAATCTTTCCTATCATTTAGCTGATTAGCATTTGTAGCCACATATGTTAATTCGGTACTAAGCTGCTTTTGATAGTGATCCATGACGGCGCCTCGTTCGGTTACATTTTGAGCGCGTAAAATGACAACCACTAGTCCACTTGTGCCACAGCATCGAAGACCATATATCTCTTATATTTTTATAGATTTTTTCATAACTATTTAGATGCCTCGAGACCCTGCACCCCCATATAAAGTAGAATTTTTCATAACTATTTTGATCGCATATAATTAGAATGAAAGATTCAAATAATAAATTTGACACGGGTGCTTGTATTTATGGCTAATTATTCTTTTAGTGGTAGGTAGTGATGTACTTGTTGACAGTGAGATACCCGTGATGACTTCGTCAATCTCAAGATATGTCAGCTCAGTCTTTCGAAGGTACTTATAGGGGTAAGATTTGTATTCATAAGGGTGAGTGTGCACGCGTTATAAGCGCCTGCGTTTTTACTTTGTTTCAAAAAAAAAATTGAAAGGAGATGTCCAATAGGATTTAAAATATGTCCCAGGCCAGAGTACTAAATTAAGTACCCACATGTATGATATGGTAATTTATTTAGTTTTTACGTGTGCACACATGCATGTGATAGTAATTAATATATTAAGGAGGGCCTGTCAAAAATATAATAATTGAGGAGGACAAATATACATACATCATCACCACGTAGAGCACGACGACGGCCGACGACACGGTGGAGAGGTCGAGCACCATCTCACCGGAGTGCCTCGAGTTGACCGCCATGAAGAGCGCGCCGACGAGCTTCTGGCCCGCGGTGAGCCCCCGCAGCCCGTCGGAGCCCCACTCCATGGCGCAGAAGAGCGCCAGCTGCGCCACCACGAGCACGGCCACGGTGAGGGCCAGGAACCGCGTGCGCGAGCTCGGCAACAGGTGGTGGTAGCCCTCGCCGCCGCCCCTCCGCCGCCGGATCAGGAGCTCGCCGAGCTCCGGCCACCCGGTGACCCTCTCGAGCGCGGCGATGGCCAGCCTGAGGAAGACCGGGAAGAGCGTGTTCCCGAGGAGGACGTGCGGCATGACGAGGAGGAGGAGCCCCGGGAACGACCTGAACGACACCATCCCTTCGTTCGTCGGCACGAACCCGCAGTTGGCGAACGTCGAGACGACGGTGAAGATGGCGAACGTGTGCGCGCTGATCCCCTTCCCGGCGACCACCGCCCCCGCGCCGCCGACGGCGCTGAGGTACACGACGATGGCCGTGTACCCGGCGACGTGCACCACCGCGTGGTACCCCATCACCACGAACATCAGTAGCCTCGTCGTCGTCGTCTTCGATGCCGATGATGACGACGACGTGTGAGTAGTAGTGCAGGTGCAGCCGCGCTTGTTCCGACGTCCTAACCCTAGCTCTACCTCGTCGTGCGTCGTCGCAGTGGTGGTAGGGTTGACGACGACGACGTCCATGGGAGGAGCGAGCTCGAGCTCCACTAGGGTAGACGAAGGTGACGTCGTTGGTGGTGGTGGTTTGCCACTGCCACCATGGTCGTCATCATCAGGTAAGGTTGCTATCATCTTGGAGGAGTACTTGGCGTTGGTGAAGTAGAGGCCAAGGATGCTGGTGAAGACCTCACCACCAAGCAGCATGAGGAGGGTGATGAGGAGGAGCTGGGAGTTGGAGAAGGACTCCATCTCGACGGCGACCATGCTCGACACCGTCGTCGCCGACACCGACGTGAAGATCAGGTCCAAGTCCATGGGCCTCGGCACCATGCTGGTCTTCATCGGCAGAGCTTTCAGCATCAAGAAACCCAAGAGGGAGATGAAGAGGAAGTACAGCAGTTGGAGCCAGAATGGGTGTGCATGGAAAAGGAAAAGGTGGTAGATCCTTTTAAACTCGTCATATCTAGGAGTAGTGGCATCCAGAGAACTCATTTCTCTCCTATGTGTTTCGTTCTTGGGTTTTCTCACACTTGTTGTTTATAGGAATTAGGAAGCCATGTTAGGGCTATTTATACACAAACAACAGATATTGTTTGTTGTGTGATCACTGTATGTGGGGTTACCAGGTGCTGTGAGCACAAGTGAACAAGAGCAACAGCAGGAGGTATATCGATTTTTTTATACTTATCTTTGGATTGTGCTCAGTGCAATCATTCAGAAAGCTATTGCACCAAGGGCACTCGTGGCACATATATATTATATGATGTAAATTTGAGATCAAGTTCAACAAATAGGACTTCATATTTATGGACAAAACAATGAAATCTAATGCTACAAGTGTCTGCGTCGACGTCAACAGTATCTAGTAGCACATATATGAAAACAACTGAAGCCACCAATAACTTATAACTAGCATGTACGTACAGTACCATCTAGGATCTGATGAACACTACTAGCCACCAATTAATAAATAGACCAACATTGTATATATATCGAGATTCAGGCAATGCTTTGTCTCATGTGCGTAAATCATCACCAAAGTTAGTTTCCATGTATTGAGATGATATAGTCACCTCCTTCATTTCTAAACTGATATATCATATATATCCTAAAAGCTTCATATATGTAAACTACCGAAGATCTTCATATATGTTTATAACTTGCAATTTGTTACTTTAAAATTTTAGAACTAGTATACTCTTTTTTTTTTTGAAGAGAACACAGTGGAGGAGAACTAGTATACTCTTGTAGCAGGAACCAGGAACCATACCATCTATCCGCCCGAGACACGATCAGGGCCCGTGGCTGGCATATCCCAACTCAAGGCTAGCTAATACATTTCGAGTTTCCAACACTACTTTTAAAAAAAACTGAGTTTTACAGACCCTCTTATTTTTACATGCAGGTTAAAAAAAGATTCGTATGTAAAAGAGTTTAGAGGTGCCCAATAAAAGCTCATTTGTGAAAATTAATTTTCACAGGTAGACCACTTAAGAGACCCATATACGAAAATAATATTATTTTTGCTTACTTCTCCTCTCCTCCTTCTCTCGCAACCCCCTAATCGATAGGCGATGACAAGAGCGGCCGACAGTACATTAGCTGGAGGGAGCCGACACTTGATCAGGTGGCGGTTGTCCTGTGACGAGCGGATCCACCACTGCCAACACTGCCACGAGTGGATCCTCACTGGCGGCCCTGCGATGGGTGTATCTGCCACCACCGGCTAGAGTGGTGGATTCGTTGGCGGAGACCGCAACAGGTACAACAATTTTTGAAATAAAAGTTCTAAAATTTTGTTTTTCAGATTTGATGTGCCAATATATAGCAACTTGCCATTCCACTGTATAATTACTACCGATAAATCTATTGCCTATTTCTGCATAACATATATAGATCATCTGAGATGCTCAGTTGCATATGTGATATGCATGCATATATAGTGCTCCATCCGTTTCAGGTTATAAGATATTTTGATTTTGGTCAAACTAAATTTTTCTATAAACTTGGTCAAATAAAGTAATTATATGCCTGCATATAATTACTAATTTTTTATAAGCTTGGTCAAACATAAACAGTTTGACTTTGACCAAAGTCAAAAACATCTTATAACCTGAAAGGGAGAGAGTACCTGAAATCTTTGCTAGCTTGTGTCATTAATTATTGCACCCCTCTGAGGCTGCGAAATATGAATGTGTTTGCAAAACCCTTTTTTAAATGATGCAAAACCATGTTTCCATGGTATTCAAGAATGCGCTGTGAAGCCAGAGCCAAAGAATTGCGCAAGGGGATTTTGACACGATGAGATATAGATATTGGAAGTTTTATTTTTAAAAAACTTAATTATAAAAATAAACCTTTCAATAATTTATAATTGAAAATAAAACTTTCAGTAATTTAAGTAGTTACGTAGCACATGGAAAGACAAATTTACCCTTTTTTATTTCATACCACAAGTTATTTAAGTTGGTAGAAGAACTAATCTACACCATTGGATCGTTTATACCGGTAGTATATACTGCCGGTGAATTGTACCGTAAAAATTCTCCCTGACGTGAGTTCATACTAGGAGTAATGTGCCTCTAACAATGACCTATTTCCTGTTGTTATTTTTCATTTACTTCTAACGGGTTTTAGTCTTCAGAGGTATAATAGTTTCTGGTAGTGGTATATTTGCAGATGAAAAGTGGTTGTAACAGTTTTTGGTAGTGGTATATTTGCAGATGAAAAAAAAAAGAAAAAAAAGAAAAGAAGTTCATGAACACGACAGTAAATATCATTTTGTCCGGCCATTTTCACTTGTTCGGTTACAAGCAACCCATATCAGCAAACACGAAGAATTTCTTGTCAAATCTTATAGCTCCCTTTGTTCTTGGATGTCAGGGAAGAACTGAGCAATGTGGATTCTTGATGAGCTATTTTACACATAGGTCGTACACGGTTCAAGGTGCACATCAAGAAAAAGTGACACAATATTCCAGTATTCCATAGTACTATTGATAAGCTTGCTTTGCCACTACTGCTACAATGTAATCCAAATCTGTCACGTCGAATAAATATCTAAAGGGTTGTCATCTTTAGATAAAAGTTCACTAAAAAGAGTTCCAACGGTGGAAGAAAACAGTTTGCAAGAGGCCTAGGGCTGTATCAGTAGGCGTGGCCTAGGTAAAAAAAATTGTTAGAACTTGTGCACATTTTCTTTATTATCTTAATAACTAATAAAAATCAGTTTCCCCCTGATTTTGTATGTAAACTTCATGAATTTGAATTTCCAAGGACAATCTACTGTGCAGCAACAATAATGAGATTCGAAATATAAATATCACTATCATCGATAATTCTACACCGCCACTCACCTTATCTCTACCCAAGCACCACCGACCGCCCCGGTCTCCTCTTCCTGCGCAGCCGCGAAGGAAGAAAGAGATGAGGGCACAGAGATATGGAGAGGGAGAGATCTAGAGGCTGAGAGGGGAGGGATATCAAAAGTAGAGTGAGAGAATGAGTTAATTTATTCTGATGCAGTTCCACGTTAAGTACTAAGAACACAATATTTTAAAGTGTTCTGCACTGATTTAATCAGTGTTAATTTTTTCTGAATTTATGAGTGTTTTTTCGACGATTTTCAGTAGAATGGTATTGTTTTCAGAGAATTCCATTGAAGTAATTATATGTTGTTAATTATGGGTGCATGTTTTGGCGTAATGGAGAGATATTTGGAAATATTTTATTTTCTAAGTAACACAGTACAAACGTAGGTATCCACAATGCGTGCATATTCACCCCTATGAACACACAAGCACCCTACCCCTATGAGCACTTCCAAAAGATTCGGTCGGCATATCTTGTGATTGACGAAGTCACCACGCGCAGGTACCTCACTATCGATGGGTACATCGCTACCACTGAAAGAATAATTAGGTATTTGAAAATGTTGCGTGGACATAATAACATGGGTATCAATGATATATTTTGCGTTGACAGTGAAAATAATATACCCATTTGAATATGGCCGATATGAAAAGAAAAAAAGGGTCGTTGAAAATACATAGTGCAAAATGGTAGTTGCAAGAAATTCATATAAAGATGATGGAAATAGATAGTCAGATTTTAGAAGCAAACACATATAAATAGGGACCTAGCTAGTTTGGATAAGGAGACTCCCTAATACCTTGAATTGGGAGGGAAAAATAGGGAGCACACTGTAAATAATCTAAGGTACATGGTATTCAAGACCTATTATTAGAAGTGGTAGGGATTAGGAGTTTGGATTTATATTTTTTTTTTAGCTTTTCGCTAGTACATACACTGGTGTATTTTTCATGCGCGACTCTTTTGACCTGTCTATATGATATTAGAGCAAGCTTCCCAATAATTTCGACCTATCACTGCTAGAGAACCGATCTTTGCTCGATCGGCCAAAATCAGAAATATCTCAAATGTAAAACAAATCGGTACTAAATATATTCCTTAGTACCGGTTAAAATACCCAACGGCACATTAAAATCTTTAGTATCAGTACTGATCATTTTTAATCCTAGTTCAAATATTGTCAGACCGTGTCAGGTCCTCAGGATCTTTAGTTTTGGTGGGTATTACCTACCGATACTAAAGATCATTTTCTTTTTATAGGTCTTCTTCCTCCTCCAGCCCAAGCCATTACTGCAAAGTGAAAGGAGGAGGAAGAGTGGACTGAGAGGTGCTGCCAAAATTTTTTGTGAAAATATTTTGGTGATATTATACAAATCAAAGGAATCATCTAAAAGGTTTGCAACTTCATTCTCTATCGATGTATGGTTAACATATTATATTCTAGCTATGTTTATATATGTCATTATCTCTCAAAATGGTATATGTAAAAAGATGAGAGAGAAAAAATATTAGAGAAAATTAGGGTACTTCAAAAAAATAGAAACATTTGAATAAAAATGTTAACAAAAGACAACAAAGGAAAAAAAGAAAATGAAGACAAAAGAATAGAAAACTACGTCCATTTAAAAATTATTAAAATAGTTATAAATAAGTAGAATGCATTAAAATATGTTTAAAACTTTTAAAAAACTTCTAAAAATAATAAAAATAAGGATAATACATGGAAAATATATTTACATTTTTTTAAAACTGATAGAATTTATATATAATTAACCATGGCTCCGATTAAGTCCATTTAAAACTTCTTAAAATCATTAGAAATAAGAAGAATTCATTAAAAGTGCGTACCTTCAGTTTTGAGTTTAATTATGATGTTTTAAATTATTATATGATTATTTAATTAGTATCACCTTTATTGACTTACTTTACAGTTGTTTATTTGATGTAGATGAATCGGCATTGGATGCACACCGCGGATTGACGGTCGAACGAGTTTATTGATGACGTGCGTTATTTTTTGAGTGTGGCCAATGCCCACAAACCTAAGGGTTTTATATGTTATCCATGTAAAGTGTATAATCTAGAAAGAGTATTCTACATCAATAAATCTTCATGTCCACTTGTTGCAGTCGAGATTAATGCCTATCTATAATTGTTGGACCTCGCACGGAAAGTTAGGGGTTGCAATGGAAGAAGATTAAGAAGAAGACGACAACATTCTGGACTGGGCTCAATACGATGGATTTGTTGAAAATACAACATATGCGAGGCGGATGGAGCTG